GATCCGCCCGTCTCGGCCTCCCAAAGTGCTGGGATTACAGGCATGAGCCACTGCGCCCGGCCAACCCTGTCTCTTAAAAAACAAACAAACAAGGCCGGGCATGGTGGCTCAGGCCTGTAATCCCAGCACTTTGGGAGGCCGAGACGGGCGGATCACGAAGTCAGCAGATCGAGACCATCCTGGCTAACCCAGTGAAACCCCGTCTCTACTAAAAAATACAAAAAACTAGCCAGACGAGGTGGCGGGCGCCTGTAGTCCCAGCTACTCGGCAGGCTGAGGCAGGAGAATGGCGTAAACCCGGGAGGCGGAGCTTGCAGTGAGCTGAGATCCGGCCACTGCACTCCCGCCTGGGCGACAGAGCGAGACTCCGTCTCAAAAAAACAAACAAACAAACAAAAAAAAGTAGGTGGGGAAGGGCTGGGCAATCAAAGGCTAGAGAAGGAGGACAGGCCTGGTATAGGGGGCTCAGCAAGTAGGCAAATGAGTCACGAGCGACATTAGGAGCGGGTGGGGAGGTGTCTGGTACATGTGTATGTGTAAGAGGGAAATTCATTCTAGATTCGAAGCTATTCAAAAGTGTACTCTCTCCCAAGTGGTCATCTGAAGCTCCTCTTTAGTTGTGTTGCAAGTAAATTTAAGGAAGTTTCCCTGCCAAGAGTGAAAACTGTTGGAAGAGGTCACAGGGATATTCCAGAGCAGTAAATAAAGAGAGCCGAAAGGCCCGGGGTGGTGCTGGTGTTAACCAGGCTCTATGTTTTTGGAAATCAGGAGTTCTTAGGAGAAAAGCAGGGACTCCAATCCAAGAAGGTTGTTGAAGGTCTTGCCAAGTTCTGGCAGCATGGCAGGTCTCCCAGGCTCAGCCCAGCCCCGTCTTGAGGTGGCGCCGCTATCCTGGATATCTCTCTTCTTCCCAACACATGTCCCAAACCAAAGCCAACCCCAGGAACCATGGGAAACTGGGACAAGTCTAACGTGGCAAACCGTGACATTACTTATGGGGACTGAGAACCACAGGGATGTCCTCGGCCACCTCTCCCACTGAGACCACCACATTTTAATTGCCAGTCTCTTAAATCCATAGCTCTAAAATGCACATCCTCCTGAGGGGCTGGGGTGGGAATGGCAGCCAGCTGTGCAGCAACATGGGTAGCCAGCCAGCCACTGGGCCCACAGCAGCCGTCATTCCTCTTAGGCACAGGTGGCATCTTGGAGGCGGAGGTGTTACTGGGAGAGGGGCAAAGTGGGGAAGGGAAAGGCAATGAATATGAACTTGGCCACGTCACATATGTTGCTAGATCCGAACCGACTGCCATAAACCTTGAGCCTGGGCCAGCTTGCCCTCCTCTAAGTGCTAACATCTCTTGACCTGAGTCAAGCGGGGACAAGCACTGCTGGAGAGAATGTAAGATGCAGTTTAGCAGCATTCACTCCAGGGAACGTACTTTTCTTAGCTTATGCTAATACTACCATAATGATCCTTCAGGACATAACCCCAGAGCTTCTGCTTGAAGGAGAGAATGAGGGGGCATTTCCTTTTTGTTAATTTCCCCATCACCCGCCATGTCTCTCTCATTCATTCTCTTTTTTTCCCATTCATTCTCCTACTAGCTTGTTGTTTGTTTCCATTTGAAAAAGAAAAAAGAACTTCATGTTTTGGAAGACCTTGACTGGCTTTGCCAGGATGATTAGAACTGCCACAAAAAAAAATAAGCATAGTGTTGAGGCAAAATTATGTATGTAGCTAGGAGGATAGCAGTGAAAAGGAATGCTACACTCTTCACTCAGCAGAACAGCCAGCTCAAAGCCTCAGACTCACACAGGGCAGCCATGAGGCCAGCAGGCAGCTGGTGCCTCACACTTGTAACTCCTGCCAGGAAGAACTGAGGCATGTTCATCTCTTCACCTCCAGCAACAAAGACAAATCCTGACACATAATAGGTACCCGTAAAACCTCTGAATGATTGAAAGCATGACTAGGGGCCGGGCTTGGTGGCTCATGCCTGTAATCCCAGTGCTTTGGGAGGCCGAGGTGGGTGGATCACCTGAGGTCAGGAGTTTGAGACCAGCCTGGCCAACATGGTGAAACCCCATCTCTACTAAAAATACAAA